AACTCTCTATCCCTCTCCCTTCCTCTCTGTAAAAAATCAATAAAATATATTTTTTAAAAAATCCTAAAAATTTAACAATCAGCTCTTAAAAACTGATATGAGCCAGCTTCAACATCTCCCTGGGTTTTTTTGTAAGTAAAAAAGGGTAGAATATCACCTATGGTACACCTATATCCTACCAGAAACTCTGGGGGTGGATCCAGTGTTTTTTATTTTAAGATTTTTTTGAGAGAGAGGAAGGAAGAGGGACAGAGATAAACATCTATGAGAGAGCTGAACATCAATTGGCTTGGTTACCGCCAGCACACCTCTACCAAGGATCAAGCCCGAAACCTGGGCATGTGCCCTGACCAGTAATCGTAACCAGCAAACTTTTGGTGCATCAACGACGCCCAACCAACTGAGCCACACCAACCAGGGCGGATCCAGCGTTTTTAAAAGATGCATAGAGGATTCTTAAGTTCAGCCAGGGTTCAAAACCTCCACAGAGATGAGGACAATAAGGCCCAGGGCAGGCACTGACTTGCCTATCACCACAAGGCTAGCTGGTGTCAGAGTCGACCCAACCCTGGCGTCCAGATTCCCTTTATCAAAACATACTGTCTCAAATGGGTGGATTTTGTAAGGAAAATTGTGCCGAAACCTAGAGAGTTTGATTTATCGTCCTTAGGGGAAATGATCCTACTCTAAAAGCTTAGCCACTTGGAGGCCACAGATAACTGGAAATAAAATTCAGACTAAGAATTCATGGTTGCTTTGTGAAAACAAACAAACAAATTAAAAAAAAACCACTGAATTATATACTTTAAAAGGGTGAATTTTATGGTATGTAAATTATATCACAACTTTTAAAAATTTCAAATGAGAGACATTCTACAAAATACCTCAAGGAAAGCCTAAGAAACTATCACAGCCAGCGGGAGCCTAAAGAGACATGAGTACAAAATATAATGTGGTGCCCTGGACGGGACCCTGGACAGAGAAAGGACATTAGGGAAAATCTGAGAAAATTACTAATAATAACATATCAATGTTGGTTCAGTAATTGTGACAAATGTACCATTATAATGTGCAGGGAAACTGGGTATGTGGTATACAGAAACTTTCTGTACTGTACTCACAATAATTCTATAAATCTAAAACTGTTCTAAAATAATAAAAAACGTTATCAAGAAAAAGCAACAGGGCAGGTCACCAAACTTCTCAGTTTTTATTTCTCTATAAAATGTGGCTTTGCTCTTTGGGATTAGTATATGGGATAATGAAGCTATAGATGTTAATGAATGCAAAAGGTAAATATAAAAGAACAAAACAAAATAAAAAACAACCTTTCTAGGTATCAAAAATAGAGCTAATTTTTTTTTCCTTGAAAATAAGATTCATGATATTCTTGACTCCTTGTGGCTAAACCAGCAATGCCCTAAAAACGTCCCGCCAGAGTGAACTGAGCAGATCCTCAAATGCCCCTGCACCCTTCTGAATGGCCGAAATCACTTCAAAAGAAAAGACAATTACTACTCGGAGTAGGAAAGCATTTGACCAACACCGTGGGCAGCCGTCCTGGCTGATGTTGTGTTGTTTCTCCAAGTGTTAGTTAAAAACAGAAAGCCCGCATCACTCTCCAGGGTTTGGCCTCTCCCCTACCTTTGAGGACATGATGTTCTTCACTTCCTCGTCAGCGGCAGAGTGTGTCCCGGTGAGGTCCGGGTTACTGCTGCTCATCACCCGGGCCTGCAGCAGCTTCGAGCTCACCGCAGCTGCAGAAGTGCGTCCATACGTGTGGTAGCGAGGGTCCGCGAGAGCAGTGGGGCCACCTGCATCCCATCAGGTACAGACATGTCAATAGAAAGTGGGTCAGAGTCACTTCCTGGACTTTAGAAGGAACTGAAGAGGGATGGGGTAGATAGTGGAATGAAAACCTTCTAGATTAGGCCTTAGAATTAGGGTCTTATTATCAAATGCCTTAGGGAAGACAATGATTTGGGGGTAAGTAGATAGGATGTAAGGCAGTAGGGAGTGGTGAGAACTGTGGTAGACTGGAAACACGGGCCTCATCCCAAGTCAGGGGCTGCTACTCAGCTCCTGCCTGTTATTGCCACGGAGAGCCTGCCCTCCCGGTTGATGGAGCTTCTGATTTCTCAATATAAGCTGGAAACATGGATGTATGTATTTGTTTATTAATATTTAAACGATGGCAACTTTGTAAGTAAAGTTTTCTATGATTTCAGGATCCCAGGAATCATCTGAACCTTAGGAGGATAAGTGTATACTATATTTCGATGTTTTTCACCTGTCAGTATTTACTTGTCTTCAAAAGTGATTATGTGAGTCTATGACAGTGATGGCAAACCTATGACACGCGTGTCAGAGGTGACAGGCAAACTCATTTTTTTGGTTGATTTTTCTTTGTTAAATGGCATTTAAATATATAAAATAAATATCAAAAATATAAGTCTTTGTTTTACTATGGTTGCAAATATCAAAAAATTTCTATATGTGACACGGCACCAGAGTTAAGTTAGGGTTTTCCAAAATGCTGACACTGACACGCCAAGCTCAAAAGGTTCGCCATCACTGGTCTATGACATAGACCAGTATTTTAAAAAACTCAATTGAAATGGCAAGTTTACTTGAAATAAGGCTGGGTGGACTAATGAGAAGGCCCAGTTTCTTTGCTGGGGCCTAGGACTTTGTGAACTTGTTGGTTATCATGCTGACCAGGTCTGTTTGAGTATTACCTATGTAAATAATAAAGAATGGAGAAATGAAATATTATTATTTCAAAAGGCTAGAGAGAGAAATATGAGAAAAGATTTAATTTTTCATAATGACAAATCTAGGAAACACTGCTTATCACGACTATCAAATATATATTATTCTCCTTATCATTAATTTTCTAGACTCCTAGGCGTCTGTTGTCATTTCTCCATATTTTACAAAAGAGATCCTAACTGAATCCAAAGTTACCCCCTGGGTAAAGACCAGTGAGGGATTATCAAACAGGCAGAGAAAGTAAGTGCTTAGAGTATATAAAGAAGGATGGAGGCAGGAAGAAAGCAAGAGGAAAATCTAGAAATAAACTCTTAATTTTAGTATTCATGTCATATTTGTGTCATTCTGTAAAATAAAATGTAATGGTCATGCTTTTTATTTTATTTGAATGACGTGGCAGTGGAGTGGGGGTGAGGGTCCCCGGCCACCAGACTCCACCCTCGAGGCCATGCTACCTGACTTGGGCAGGTCCTTCTGCAGCTCGGGCAGGCGGAAGACGTAGTGCACGTAGGAGGCCAGCAGGCAGTTCCTCCCATGCTGGTCTTTGCTCAGGTCCTTGCTGTTGTGCAGACTGTTGGCGATGGCCACCACGGACTCAAAGGCAAACTGGGAGAAGTTGGCTGAGGAACCAAGATAAAAATGGGCAGCCTCACAGTCGGTCCTTAATGAACCCAAAGTAAAGTGTTCTCCAGGGCAGTGACAGGGAGCCTGACCACCAGCCTAGAGAGCTAGGCGGTCAGGAGGATGGCCTGCTGGCTCTGCATGCTGCCAACAGCGTCACGCTTCCTCCCTCATTCTCGCCCTCCCACCAGCACTGCGCTTTTTCATGACAAAGCCATGAGACTATCCAGACAACCTCCCTTTCTAAACCATGATGTGAACTGGAGCTACTCAGCGGGGTCTGCACTGACATGGTCAGCGTCACCCAGGAGCCTGCTAGAAATGGAGAATCTCAGGCCCCTCCACAGACTCGCTAAGTCAGAATCTGCATTTTCACAGGATGCCCCGGGATTCTCATGCACCCTGTGGTCTGAGAGGCACTGTTGCATCTTGGTGTACAGATTGCTCTAAAAATGTGTGTATTGAGGTGATTCCCTACAATGGACCTTTACAAAGGATTGATTTAGCACATCCACTGTCTTGTTCTGGAACTCCAGCCTCCACTGTTCGGCTCTACCTTACTTGGCTATTTCTGGTGATAAGTCCTGTCTTTCTGAGCAGGCTGGAAGCCCTTCCAGGGCAAAGTGCATTTCTCATACTTTCTTGTCTCTCAATATGCCTTTCATTGTGTCTGACAACAACAGGTCTGAATAAAGGCTTCTTGTCTAAACACCTCTACTTATTCTGCCTGCCCCAACACCCTGCTGTCCCCATGACAAGGCAGCAACTTGCTAAGGAGAAGACGTGTGAATGAATATTTTTATCTAACACACAAGTCTGTATTAAATAGCTGAAACATGCAAAGCAGTGTGCCACGTAGGTGGGGGCATAGAAAGAAATCCAGGGAGGGGAGAGGTCACTGCTCTGCAGGAATCTCGCTGGAGAAGTGTCAGCTTCTGCATTTTCACAGGATGCCCCGGGATTCTCATGCACCCTGTGGTCTGAGAGGCACTGTTGCATCTTGGTGTACAGATTGCTCTAAAAATGTGTGTATTGAGGCGATTCCCTACAATGGACCTTTACAAAGGACTTATTTAGCACATCCACTGTCTTGTTCTGGAGCTCCAGCCTCCACAGTTCGGCTCCACCTTACTTACCCAACTTTGGACCCTCAACCTCCACTTCTCTTAAAACGAGGCACTGGTTGTACTATCTCCATCACATGTCTGCTCTTTCTCATCTCTGCGACTTTGCTGATACTGTTGTCCTCACCTAGAAAGCCCTCTTCCCACTCACAAAATCATACCAACCTTTCAATGCTCATCACAATCCTATCTCCTCCACAAAGCCTTTGGTTCCACTCAGTACAGGGCTTCAGTGACACCAAGTCCCAACATGCGTTGGCTATTTCTGGTGGTAAGTCCTGTCTTTCTGAGCAGGCTGGAAGCCCTTCCAGGGCAAAGTGCATTTCTCATACTTTCTTGTCTCTCAAGTGTCTTTCATTGTGTCTGACAACAGGTCTGATGAATAAAGGGTTGTCGAAACACCTGTACTTATTCTGCCTGTCCCAACAACCTGCTGTCCCCATGACAAGGCAGCAACTTGCTAAGGAGAAGACGTGTGAATGAATATTTTTATCTAACACACAAGTCTGTATTAAATAGCTGAAACATGCAAAGCAGTGTGCCACGTAGGTGGGGGCATAGAAAGAAATCCAGGGAGGGGAGAGGTCACTGCTCTGCAGGAATCTCGCTGGAGAAGTGTCAGCTGCACGTCTGAAATGTAGCCTACAACACAGGATGTCTTATCTGTGGAACCACAAAAGACACACCCCAGGATACAGTGCAAACAAGGGGTTAAGAAGACATGCTCTTCCCTGGTCTAAGAGTTCAGCAAGTACCCCCGCTCCCCCCAATCAATTTACTCAGATTCCATAGCCCAACTGTGCTATTTCCTTCTTTCCTCGCACTCCCGTGCTTTTCTGAGTCTCTGCTTTTGCCACTTTCTCTCACTGTCTCCATTTGGGCTGCTTTCTCTCTACACCTCCCTCAAGGTCATCGCAAACACCTTCTTCCTAGAGCCTCCAACATCCTCCCAGGTGGATGTTCTAGCGCCTCCTCTCCCCCCAGTATTTTTAGCCGTGTCCTTTCGAGGATTCTTGTCCTATGCTGCTGCTCTTCACTGTATTTATTGTAAATCCTCTCAGGTCAGCTATGCTCTCGATTATTGCGAAGCCTACAACTGCTAGCACAGTACTGGGAACACTGATGATGCCTAAAAGACATCCACTGGACTCGCTAGCATGGCATAACATAAGCCCAGCCAAAAACAGTGTCAGACAAAAATGCCCTACACCAGCCAATCTGCCCCAGCAGGAGTCAGGAGAACCATGGGACCCACGTCTTACATGACATTATTTCCAATGGAAGTTTTACACATTGTATTTAATGTTCACTTGTTAAAAGCAAGCATTTAAAATACACTATCAGTCAGCCAATAGATGAGTGGTTGCCAGGGGCTAAGGGGATCAATATAAAACATGATCACATTGCATTTCAATTTAGAATTCCTTTCCTTCTACTTAATATGAATTATCTTATTCTTTTGAGATATTTTATTTCCCTGTTGGTCCAGAAAACAAAAATATCTTAGAAGTACAAGAATTCTATCCACTACAAGGAATGGAATTTGAAAGACTACTTCTAATAGTTTTAAAAATTTATTTTAAAAACTATGATTTTAAGCATCCAATCTTAATTTCTTTTTTTAACATCCAGGGAGAGTAAGAAATAGCACTGGACCTGGCCTGCCTTGGACTCACAGCATCAACAGAAAAGAAGATCACACTTTCCCTGCTCCCAGGATTTCTGGAAAATCGTGTCTCCTAACACAAGGCACTGCCTGCCTCTTCCCGCCTCCTCCCAGCCTCCTACCTGTCTGGCCGGCGATGACCATGGGCTGCACGGACAGCTGGAAGAGCTTGTCCAGCACCAGGTGCAGGAAGAGCACGAGGGGCTCCAGGCGGGAGGAGTTGAGCCAGATGATGCTGAGCTTCAGCTCATGCTCCAGCGTCGTCTCACTGATCTTCTGGTCCAGCACGCGGATGGGGAAGGTCACCTGGCTCTCCAAGGAGTGGCAGAGAGTGAAGAACTTCTCCAGGTGGTTGTCCTGGGAAGGCAGACAGCAGGCCTCAGGGTCTTATCCCATCCAGGCTCACCAGTGAATTCATAAACACAATCAAATGGCTCCTCGTAGGCAGAGCCCTTTATCCCAGGTCTTAGACCACAAGTTCTAAGACATGGATGTTTCAGACCAAGGTTATGAACCGCTTTGTAGAGTGGTGTGCACAAAATAGACCCTCTCCATTAACTACTAACTGAAGAAGAAAATAATTTGGACTCTGACATATTCTGTAAGCAGAAGCAAGCACACCAGGTGAGCACACACAGCCCAAAATGGGTCTACACGGGTGCAAAACTCTAACAGTGGCACAAAAAGGAGGGAATGTAGAAGTGGGAGAAAGGCTGGTGAAGTGGCAGAATCGCAGAGGGGAATGAGATAGAGACTTCAAATGGAGTCTCTCCACATAATTTCTCAGCCAACGGTGCAGGGACTGGGTTCCTTCATTTAGGTGCTCAACCTTTTGATAAGGGCTTTCCATTCAAATGAAAATTAAACCTGAACAGGCTTGGAAAGTCCCCATAAAGAACTAAAGGTTATTTTTGTTTTATTTGTGCACAATGATTTTCATTGGTCGGTTACTGGGCTGTCCTTAGAAGGTTCTCTGCTGCGCCCCCATCGTCACTATTGGCCTCCTGGCTCTGAGGTGAAGTGGACCTCAGTGTTCCTTACCTGGGTGTGAACAGAGGAAACAGCTTGCACTTCAATATTAAATACTCCCTTATGTCCTTCAGCCCACTTAATAGGAGGATTCTGTAAAGGGACTTTCTGTGTTAAAGAAAAAAAAAAAAAGATTAGCAATTCAATCCCTTTTTCTGAATACTAGCAAGCAGCACAAAGCAACTTGACTGTAAATGTCAGGGTTATCTATAATAATAAAAGCGTAATTGCTAATTAGACCAGACAGCTGAATGACCTTCCGGATGTCATTCTGGACATCCTTCTGGACGAAGCTGTGGTAGCGGGGGCCAAGGCAGAGGCAGTTAGGGGTGATCAGGCAGGCAGGCAGGTGAATGGTTAGGGGTGATCAGGCAGGCAGGCAGGCAAGTGGTTAGGTGCCAGCAGTCCCAGATTGCGGTGTTGGGCCTAAACTGGCAGTCGGACATCCCCTGAGGGGTCCCAGATTGCGAGAGGGTGCAGGCCGGGCTGAGGGGACCCCCCCCACCCCCGCGCACAAATTTTGTGCACCGGGCCTCTAGTTCAAATAGAAAATTCCCCAGAAAACTAATAGAATTGGCCTTGGAGTTAGAAGCTCTGGGTTCAAGTTCTGTTCTGTCCTGAACTAGTTACTTTTACTTTGCCAACTCAATTAAACTCTTTGGGCCTTTGTTTTCTTTGCTGAAATGATGGGTTTGAACTGAGTGATCTGTCTTTAAGCTCCCACCCAGCATTGATAAATCCTTGATTCTAGGAGCTGAAATAGAGTAATATGTTGGTGATTTCCCCATTAATCAGGAATATCAAGACAAAGCCTAGAGTATCTTTACACGACATAAAATTTTAATGCTTTTGAGCACCTACAATTACTTTCCCTTTTAACAAAACATTTCCAAGTAGTAGTCCTGCTAGGCTCCTGCTTTAATTACTTTAAGTGACTCTCTTATGTCATTTATGTATCAATAGCTTTGTAATCCTAAGAGGCAATTTTTTGCCTTAAATTCCCATGGAATTATCTTCCTCAGGAGACATCATACAGCATTGGGTGAGGAAGGCCTAGTCTGACACAGCCACATGTGTGTGGATTTTGCATCTCTTGCATTATTATTTTTTTGTTAATTCTCACCCGAGGATATTT